GGGGGGGGGCGGGGCATGCAGTGACCCAGCACACGGAGCCATCCGTATGCTCCCCCCTGGCAGAGCTGCCAAAGGTACCTAGTGCCAAGGCCTCCGGCATACTGGCAGAAGTGAGGCCAGTGGGGCGGTAAGACTGAGCAGCTAGCCTGCTGCCCCCAAACTCAGGCAGGAACCGAGCTCCTGTGCCTTCTCCTGCAGAGCGCAGAGGCCGCGGCTGAAGCCACCAAAAAGATGGAAGCTGGAGCTGGGCGAGCCAGTTACATCAGCTCGGCCAAACTGGAGCAGCCGGACCCCGGGGCCGTGGCAGCCGCCGCCGTACTCCGGGCCATCCTGGAGACGTTACAGAGCCAGAGCGCGTGACTCCAGTCCTGTCCCCATCCCTGACCGCTGCTGTGCAGCTGCTCAGGGCCACGTGTCCTCATCTCCGCCTCTGCGTGGCATCTGGTACATTGCTCCTAGTTTCCCAGTGTAGGGATGGCGCCCGAAGGGACATCCCTCCTCTGTCTAGCCTGAGGTAGCCTCACCTTTTTTGTGAAAAGGATCCCTTTGCACAATCATGTTTTAAATGCACAAAATAATTAGATCGGAGAGGAAATCAATTATATTGCAATATAAGTGTCAAAATAATAATTTTCCCCAAATCCCAAATTTCTAGACTTCATGTTAAGAACTGTTCTCGAAGGCACCGTCCCCTCCAATCATCCAGGAAGCCCTGATTTTAACACCCAGAACCAGGCAGACTGTCTCAGGCCAAGGAAAGGCTGGCTTTGGAGCTGTGAACGCTTCCTCAGCCCTGGTCCTTTTGGCCTTGCCACAAAAGTCCGTGTTGGTTCCGGGCCTGACCGGTTCTGCTCCCCATCATTCCCTCTCCTTCCAGGGAGGGCGGAGTTGAGTCTGGCAGGATCCCAACCCCTCCAGATGGTCAGCCGTATGCCTCCGTGATAAAGATTTTTCCTGTACCTGTCAGGGTGAATGTGTTTTTAAGAATCTTTCTTTGTAAGCCTTTTTGTCAATAAACAGGCAGAGGGCTAACCCCAATAAATCATGTCAAGCTGCAGTAAATTTGGTGCAATGTGGTGGCTGCCTCCTTCCCTACCTGCCCTGCCATGCCCACTGGTTGCTCAAAGCCTGAGCCAGAGGTGGAGATGAATCCCACCGGCTCATCTGCAAATTGTCAATCTCTTGACAGCTGAGACAGATGAGAAGTGTCAGATTTGAACTTGGCACCCTGGGGTTTCCACGCTTCAGAGCACATGCCCAGTACAGGCAACAATGTTGATGGGGATATCTCTGATCTAGGGCAGACAGAACCCGTCTGTAGGTACAGTGAGTGGCCAAAGAACCAGACATGTCTCAGATGGGGGCAGGGGGCCAGAGGACCTGCAAACTCCACTTTCTTATAGGCCGTGAGTCATGTACAAGGCCAGTCTTCTTGTTTTCCCAAACTTCTGCCTCTCATCAAGGGTGACTTTGGCTAAATCCTGGCCTGACCAGGAAGAGGAGGTGGCTAAGTCAGTCACATGGGCCCACTGAGCAGAGACTCGGGCGTGTCTCCAGGGCCTCACAGTGGCACCATTTTGTTACTGAGTATGTAGTTGATGGACACGAGAGAGAGCCTGAGGGGAGCCCTGATGGGCAAAGGTCAGTCTCCATCCAGGTCCTCTCCAACCACAGGTGGGCTCTCTCTGATGACGGTGGTCGTGGCCACACAAGATGGTCTCGAAGCATTTCGCCCGCAGGACGTTATGGGGTCTTGAGCCATTCTCTAGGATGCATGTTGGCTATCTCTGGATATAAAGCAGCAGCAACCTGAAAGAAGGGTCTAGACAGGCCCTATCTGCAGTGGGAAGGAAGGCAGCATGGTCATTAGGAAGGGGCTATGTGTAGTTCTCTTGTGAAGAATTACCTGGTTCTGTTCTCGGGCCTGACAGGCAGCCTTGAAGTCGGAGAGCCAGACTGACTGCGTACCTGAGGCCAGCCACTTAACAGCGGCTAAGTCTAAGTTACAGGCTAACTGCCATCTTGCTTTGGTAGAAGGAATTTCCACACTGAGAGTTCTAATTAAATGCCAAGTCCCACTGGCCCTTGCACTGGTGAGAGGGAGGGCCCAGCCCAGATCCATAAGTCACACAGGCACACAATCCGGCCAGACAACGGTCAGGCAGCATTCACAGGCTGTCCTGGGCTCTGGAGATCTGAAATCAGACCCTCGGAGTCAGCTGGGCCTTCTGAGGCCACCTAGTACAAAACGCCCTCTCCAAAGCCCCACACACGTGGAAGCCTGGGGGCCCCAGGTAGGCGAGGCCAGGGATTCAGGCCCAGTCAGACTCACAACCAGGAAATGCAGTAAAAACAACTTTAATGGTAAGGAGAGGTTAAAAGAATACAACTTAGGAAGTTAAAAGGATCTTCACAAATAGAAAAGCCACCTCCCCTCAAGCTCAGCAGTACTAAGACCTTAACCTTAGCAGGGCAGGGAGGAGCTCCAATGGAATCCTGACCAGATGCCCCAGAGGCCACACAGCCTCAGCCCCCCTGCAGAATCAGCCCCACTTTACGCTAAAGAAGCTCGGCTCCAACCATGATCCTTAGAAAGTGTGTTTTCCCTTTTAATCAAGGCGAAATTTGCTGATATCACGCCAGAAAGCCTGGCAGTCTTGGATCCTTAAAAATGCATTGAATGAAAACTTTCAGGCAGCCCAAAGAGGTTGACCCCAGCTGCACCCTGGCCTGAAAACACGGGCCACTCACTGAGCCAATCGACTGAATGCTCCCCTAGGAGAGAGCTGTGAGAGCCCTAGGACTGCAGTCCACACTCGGAGAGCCCGAGCCCTTGGCCACGCCAGGCCTGGTTTAGGAGGGAAGTAGAGGACCACACCAGCAATGGGGAGGGGAGAGGAGGAAAAGACCAGCCGCAGAAGACAGGACTGTTGAGGAGCGAGGAGTAGAGTTAACTCGGGAGTCTGAGCTTCCCCTGAGGCATCTGCGCCCGAGTGTGGCCTGTGTAGACTCACTCTGGGAGGGTTCATACTGCCCTCCCGGGGCCTTGGTCAGCCCAGCCCAGGGATGGGGTGGAAATCTGGCTGTGTCCGAGCAGGCAGCTCTGGAAGCCGGATGGTCCAACAGTGCCCACGGCCCTGCCGGGACAATGGCGCCACCCAGGTCTTCTCCACCATTTCCAAGAGTGTGAGGAGTTCCTGAGGAAGGGTGCTGGGGGTGGGGGTGTTAGGAGGCTGACCCTGATGGGCCAGGAGCAGGTCCCGGCATACTGAGTCCGGAAGATCAAGTCCAAAGGCGGCCCTGGTAGTAGTCCCCACTATGATGCAAGTTTCTTGGGAGGGCAGGTTGGCAGAGTTATTGGGAGGGCCCGGACGCAACAGGCACGTAAGCAATAGGGTAAGGCCGAGATCCAGGTCGCAGATGGAGCCGAAGCTAGAGGGAGCAAGTTACACCCTCCCTGCTACTTTACAAAGGCCTGGGAGAGAGGATGAGCAGCAGAGGACCTCGCCTCCACACTGGGTCGTGTGGGCAGGAAGGAGCAGAGAGGGGTACTGGTAGGGACGCCCTGGACGCAGGCCCAGCCCTTCTACCTGTCAGCAGCCCTGCCTCTGCCTAAGAGGAGCTAGTTGAGAATCTCTAAGAACTGACTCGTGACATAGCTGACATTGTGATGAAATAGCAGCGCCTCAAGGGAGAGCCTGAGAAAGGGGCCGAGAGGTGCGGAAGCCCGCGCCGGCCAGGAAGCAGGTGAGGAGCCCAGCGGCTAGCGTGCAGGACGGGAACAGGGGCAGAAGAAGTCTGGGACCCCGGCCCCTCTCCAGGCAATTCCAGAGCCCCCAGAAGAGCAGAACCTGGGGGAGAGTGGCGCTGGTGCAGCCTGCTCCTGGGGGGCCCTTCGCGCCTCACTTCCTTTCATGTAGCAGGGGCTAGAAAGAAAGTTGAGGGGATGTGAGTCCCTGTCACCCGCCTCAGGCTCCACAGACCAACGCCCAGCACCAGCAGGGACCCCACTTGATACAGAGGCCCAGCCCAGGCCACAGTCCTCCCAAGGAGATGCACTGGCCCAGCCCAGCGTTCCAACCCAAGGCCCCATGGTCCAAAGGCCTAGCCAGGGGGCTCCACTCATCCCCGAGAACCCAACTGCCCCATCCCACCAGTCATTAGCACTAGCTTTGTGGGAGCCACTTGGAGGGAAAAGGCAAGAAAGACCCTTATTGAAAATGTGAATCTCCCCTTCTCTGACCTTCGCCCTTGTCCTTGCATGGGGCAGCCAAGGTCTAACAAGGTCATGTGGGGAGATGGGCTTATCTGTGCCTTCTCTCCCAAAGTGCGCCTCTCCAAGCGTCACCAGATATCAAGGTGAGAAGGGGCCTTAGAGACGCTTAAAACAAGGGAATGGAGGTCCCGCATTGGAACCTGGATTCTTCTATTCCCTGTCTGAGTGACTTTGTGAAGGTCACCTCCCCTCTCTGGGCCCAAATGAGGGGTCAGATCAGCTCTCTGATGCCCTAGGACCCCTGCCCAGGGTTGCATGGCTCGTGTCCAAAGCAGGGCTTAAATTTTGTCTCAATGGGCCATGATTTTCTCTCCATCAGCGTCCTCGCGTCTCTTCCAGCCCCAGACCCCGTCCCCTGGTTCTTCCCCCACCCCTCACTGCCTTCCCCTTGTTCTCCGGCCACATGGACTTCTACCTGTCTGTCGGTCAGGATGCCTGGTTCAGGCCGCTTCCACGACGAGACCAGTAGGACATAGAGCACAATTCCCACAAAGGCGACCACCAGCATTCCGGTGATGTTGGCAAAGCAGGCCTCCGGCGGGAGGCTGGAGTAGGGGGCAGTCGCGTTCTTCCTGTGGGGCGACAGTGTTGGCTGTCCCTGGACCCTCCACCATGACTCGCCATCTGTCTCTGCCCAGCGTAGGCCTCCCCACACTAAGGCCCAGTGAAAAGGCGTTCCCCTGAGGTTTTTGCCAAGTGTCAAGGCCAGGGGCTACAAAAACCTAGCAATATGGTTGACCAGTTTCCGCTATGATGCTATGAACACATAGGTACCCAAGAAATACTTGACTGGCTGACCAACCTCTTCTTGGAGAAAGACAGATTCTCTTCTCTTCCCGATCAGAAGGTAGGTGCTAACTCAAGGAGGGTGGCTGATAAGCCCCCCGGGCCCCCAGTCCCCTGGCCCTCCCTGTGCAGACAGCCCATCCTCAGGGGCAGCTCTGTGGACACCCTCATTCCAGCTCAGACAGATCCCACTGCCCACCTTGAAAGCATAGCCAGGGCCCTACAGGAGACTCACAGATTGAAGAGCTTCTCATTGATTCCGGAGAGGACAGAGGCCATGGACAGGGACAGGATGACGGCCCCAAAGAAGACATGGATGGGCTTGAGGAGGCTGCGGAGCGATAGCGATGCCCAGGGTAACAGGAAGACGGTGAAGCCCAGGAGCCACTGAGGGCAGAGAGCCATGGATCCGGGAGGGGCAGGAGCCAGCCATCTGCCCTCTCCTCCTCTACCCCCCAATTCCACCCCACACCACTTTTCAGGCCCTGGACCCTCCATTTCCATGGGACACCCCGAGTCCGACAAAGAATTTTTTATTTCCAGTCACGCTACATCTATGCAGTCTTCCCAACTCTGCCTCTGCCCTCCCCCAGCTGACCCAAAGCAGAGCTGTCCAGATCATTCATTCCTGTCCAAATGGTCTCGCTTTCTACTTATGCAAATAGGAGGCCTGGTGGCGGAGCGAGTACAGAGCCGGCCTCAGACTCAAGATCTGAGGGGCTCGAGTCCTGCCTGGAACATAAACAGCCGTGACCCTGGGCAAGGCTCTTCCCTCCCGAGGCCCCCGGCAGCTCTCTCGGCCATGAGTAGCCATCTGCATCAGTGAAGTGAGTTTCCACACCAGGAGATCCTGTACCATAAACTCCCATTCCAGGAGCCACAATGCCTACGTCAGGATTCTGATGGTGTCCGTTTACGTCCTTCGACCATCCCCAGCTTTATCCTGAGTTTTATTAGTCATGTTTGTTCTGAGTAGGCGTGTTGGCACTGGGCCCATCAGAAGGCCAAGGCTCCAGACTCACAGACCCAGCAGACCCTCAGAAATGTGCTGATGGCCCAGGCAAGGGAAGGACACCCACCTGGCAGGCAAAAAGGGTGACGGCCGTGATCCCCACCCAGCTGTGCAGGGAGTAGAGATTCGAGAGCCGGTTGTGGTAATGGAAGTTAAAGACGGCGACCAGCCCCAGCACCGCCAGGACGAAGGCCGCCAGGTGCAGCACCGCATGAAGCAGCTTCCACGGCAACTTGGACCCGACCCAGGACTGGGGCAAGCGGTACACCAACGAGGCTGGGGGAAGACCAGGAGCCAGGGCCCATCCCTCAGCATGGAGCCTCTCAACAGCCCCAAGGGGGAAGGGGGAACGGGGTCCCCTTAAGGTTCCACTTGATCCTGAAGTCAACGTCAGGGCTGCAACAGCCCATGTAGTCCAACCACCTCATTTTTCAAACAATGAAACTGAGGCTCAGAGAGGATGTTCTTGCCCTGGGACCCTCCCACAGGCAGTATACTGCTGAGGTAAGACTGGAACCTGAGGCCTCTCTTCGCTGAACCCCCAGCCTCCAAGCCAGTCTAAGGGCCTGACCCACCTGCCTGTGCCATGTATCCGAGAGAGAGAAAAGAGCAAAGAGCAGGCCAAGGTCAGCCCGATGGGGCCAGGACAGGGCACGGGTCCCAGCCTCTACACGCTGCCAGGAACCTTGCTCAGGCCAAGGCTTTTATTCAAAGCCCCCGGGCTTGTGCTTTCTTGTCCTGGTCAGACCCTTGCTCACCAATGTGAGGAGCTCCTGGCCCAGGTGCTCCCTTATAATCTTACTGAGCTGCCCAAATAATACCAACTCCTATTTCAATGGCCCTGGAGAGCTTGGACCAGTGAGCCCCACAGACCACAAAGTGCTTGCTTTACAATAATCCAGTGAAGGGGTAAATGGTCTAAGAAGGAATCATGCCCATTGGACAGATGAGTAAACCTATGCTCAGGGAAATGCCCAAGATGATACAGGGTGACTTCAATTCCCAAGTCAATGGTGTACACGATCTCAGAGCGGCCCTCCCCCCAAGCAGGGGAAGGCAGAACGGCCCCAGGTCTGGAGAGCCAGTGGGGGAGCTAGCAGAGGGCCCCCACCTCCCGCTGCCCCTCCCTGGGGCCCGTCCATGCTCTACTCACCAGCCCCATACAGCACCACCATACCAGTCACCATCAGGACTGGGTGCCAGTTGAACATGAGTTTAGTGCCATCCCAGCCAAAGCCGTCATGCCAGTGCTGTACCCAGTAGACAGTGAAGAGTGTACAGAGGGAGCCCAGGGTGCCCAGGACCAGGGAGAAGAGATAGAACTGTCCCATGGCCATCACGTTCCTGAGGAAGGACAGAGCGGGTCACTCACTCCTCACGTGGGCTTCTCCCCTAGAGCCGCACCGCCAAGAGGTGACCCCCCTCTCTCTCTCACCCCAGCCCCTCACGTCCTGCCTGCCCAGGCACGGCCTATGTGCCTTGCCCAGGTGTTCTGGGAGCCAGCTAAGTCAGATTTCTAGCTGGTGAGGGGTGGGCGGAGCCTGGCCCTGGCATCTAACAACTCCTCAGGTCCGGCCTGGGTGGAGCTGTGAGGACAGATTCCTTTACCACAGGGAAAAGGATCCTCCCCCAGGGAGAGGGATTGAGGAACATTCAGACACAAGGGTGCTAGGAGCAGGCCTGAGGGGGCCCCAGCCACAACTGGACAGCCCTGGCTCTTGTGAGGGGGCAGCCTTGGAAACACATTGCAAACACTCCAAGTGATGCCCATGGCCCCACATCTGCTGCCCCCGCTTCTGCTTTCTCAGACTCAAGGGAAACTCCGGAGGAAGAGAGTGAAGCAGCAGGTCACGGTCTGGGGACCACAAAGTCTATTCTGAGATTTCCCACAAGGGCTGCTCAGAAAGGGAAAATTACCAAGAGACTCCCAGGGCATGATGGGACATGGTGCCCACACCTCTCTGGGACCTCTGCCCTAGGCTGCCGCTAGGAAAAAAGCCAGGGGCAGGGCACGGTGTGCCTGCCAGAGAGGCCAGAGAGTGCCCTACTCTGCATCTTCTGGGCAGCCACACCAATCCAACCTCTCTACTTATGTGACTCTGAGCAGGTCATTTCCCTCCTCTGGGTCTCAGTTTCCTCAGCTGTAAAAAGGGAGGCCAGAACTTTTAAAGGTTTGCCCCACTAGAAATTCTGCCCTCGATTTGATGAGTGTGTCACCAGGGCCCTCAGGGTTCGGGGCACAATCCAAGGCACAGTGGGCTCTGCCCACTTACATTCAGCCTCCCAAAGACCCTTCAGCCTCAGCCAAGAAAGGCAAAGTGCCCTCAGGGGACAGTCAGAGGACAAGGAGAAACAGCCAGCACCAGCTAAGCTCTCCCACCTACCCCAATGGGGCCCACCAGCTCCCGTTCCTGGGCTCCCCTGTGAACTGGCAGCTTGCACAGGGAGGCCAAATAGCTGGCTGGGCACCGAGCCAGCGAGTGCTGGGCAGGGTCCAGAGGTCAGTGAAGGGAGAAAAACAGAGCAGGAGCCCCCAGGAGGTGGGCACAAGAAGATTGCGCCAGATATCCTAGCAGCGACAGGGTTTTTCCTATCAGGCTTGTGGGTTTGTGACCCCCACCCTAGACCCATCAAATGGGTCATCAGCCTGTCAGGTGAGAGTTAGAATGCCCCCCATGGGACCCCCATCTACAGGAAACTGAAGTTATACAGGCCTCCTGCCATCTGCTCTGCCCACCTTTTCTCCTCCCCCCACAACAAAGAGCCTCTGGATGTGACCTGGAGACACCGTGCCCTAGCCCCAATCTGTGCAGCTTTGTGCAGCCCTGCTCTGATGGATGGAGAGCTGAGGGAGCCAGTATGAAGTCATCTAACCTATGAGATGTCACTAGGTGGTCCAGGACCCTTCATGACCGACCAGGGAACCTCTACACCCCACCTCCAGAGACCATACCACCCCCAGAAAGTAAATCCAGTCAGCTCCGAGCCTTGGAGCCAGCCCTGGGCTCTGACTTACGTCCCATTGGCCAAAAATCTGCCAGAAGCCCGGGCCTTCCCAGAAGTCTGGCTCTCCCCTCTGCCTGCCCAGGTAAGGTCTGGGGCCCTGAGTGCTCAGAGCACTCAGAAGTGGGTGTGGAGCAGACAGCTTGTATAGCAGGTCTGAAAGCAAACATCGGCAGAAATGAGCTGAACTGCCAGCCTCAGGCTACTAAGAGGATCAGGGCCAGGCAAGCCTCCAGTGGATGGCCTGGGTCCTCTGTGGAAGGTCTAAAGAGAGCTGTGGATGAGAAGTGTGTAAGCTGAGAAGGAGCAGAGGAGGTAGAATTAGTACCACTAGGAAGGCATCTCACCCAAATCACAGAACCTTCTAACCTTGCAGGTGTGTCTCCATCTAAGCATGTCCCTGATAAGGTGTGACCAGTCAGGCGGTGGGGTGTGTTCACCTTTCATTTGGCTTAAGAGCTGCTGACTCTACCCCTGGTCATCAGAAGGGCCACCCTGGAGCCAGGATCCTAAATCCCTGGGCAGAACCAATGCTGGGCCCAGCCAGCCGACAGAGCTACTCTTTCCAAAGGAGTCTTAAAAACTAAAACAGAGTTCACAAGACACTCACGCTTGGAGCAAGAGGCTAAGCCTGGGCTGCTGCCGAAGGAGGAAGGGTGAGTAACAGTAACCTTTCCTCTTTTCTTAACGAAACAAAACAAAAGCCCGAAGACGGGAGCCTGCCAATGTTAGCTAAGTCTGTGGGCCTCACTTCTATGCTGATATAACTCTACACTCCAGAGAGTAATTGTTCAAGAGGTAGCGAGATAAAAAAGAAAAAAAAGGCAAAGTCTCAGAGAACCAGCATGAATCCCCCAAGCTTCGAGTCTTTCTTTTTTTCCCAGGATTACCCGGCTGGTAGAGGGCAGCTCGCAGGACACGTTGTCACTGGTATGACAGGCCCACCCGACCATCCCTGAGGTTCTTCTGGACCAAACTACATTTTGGGAAGGCCAGAGCCGATTCTATTCTGGAGACAGTCCGGCACCGGGAAAGTAGGGTGGTGAAGGATCGAAGGTTACGTCAGGGGAGGAGCAGGGGAAGGCATCGGGATGTTAAACTTGAAGACGACTTTGGGGCACAATCAAGCGGCTCAAGTACCTGAGGAGCTGTCTGCTGGAAGACAGACTGGCTTTGTCCTTCGCGGTCCCAAGGTGGAAGAAGGGGACGCGGGAAGAAGTCAGAGAGGGGCAGGGCTAGGATTCACACGAGGAGAAAATCTTCCAGAACAATCACGGCTCTGCAAGAGAGGACGAGGCTGGCTGGCTCAAGAAGCCCAGGGCTCCACCTCGCTAGAGGTCTTGTAGCCAAGGCCGACTGACCATTTGCTGGGAAGAGGCATACGCTTGTGAGATTCTCATTCTAACACTGGTCTCTGAGTGGATGGCCATTAAATAGCGTCTACTACGTGGCAGGTATGTACCAAACATGGGGATACAAAAGAAGGCAAAAGATAGTGCCTGCCCTCAAAGAACTTACAACAACCAAATAGATACAAACAAGTTATCTATGGAATAAATAGGAAATAATTAAGGGGAAAAAAAGGGACTAGAGCCCAGAGAGATTTGGAGAAGGCTTTCCGTAGAGCGGCATTTTAGCTGGGACTCAAGATCCAAGAGACGAGGGTCTTGTTCAAAGAATCACCAGGAGGCCGGTGTTACTGGATGAGAGCCCACTTGGCCGAGACTGAGCGTTCAGAAGACGGAAAAGGCAGGAAGGGGCTGGTTCCGAAGGGCTTCGAAGGCCAAGCAGAGGACTTGGATTCGATCCTGGAGGTAAGGAGCCACCGGGGATTACTGAGTGGGGGGCTCGGTCGGACCTCCCTCGGATGGACCGGAGCAGGGCCAGGGTCAGAAGAGAGGAGGGGGCGCGGCGCCTTGGGGAGACGCGGCCGAGGTGAAATCAACACAGCCGGGCGGCAGGGCTGAGGGGGGGAGGGGTCCGGGCTGAGGCCTAGGCTGGGCGCCCGGGGGGCTGCCCTGGACCGCAGCAGCAGGTAGCACAGCCGCGTCCCTCACCCTGTTTGCGTTCCCTCGGCAGGGGTTTGCCATTTCCTTCTCTGGCCCATTTGACAGATGAGGAAGCCGAGGCAAACAGGGTCCCAGGCTCGGAGCACTGCGGCGCCCCCTGGCGGCCCTCCACGGAACTACACCGCGCCCAAACCAGACCCGCAGCAACGTGGGGGGAACGGGCAGAGGCCTTTCCGGGCCTCGATGGTATCTGTGAAACGGGCCTGAATGATTGGAGGGGGCAGGGAGGCGGGCTCGGCGGTCTCTCCCAGCCTTCCTCTGCTTCCACAAGTGTACGATGGGCCCTCGGGCCTCTAGGGTTCCTCCTGGTCCCAACTCTTGTGATCCTGTAGGAGGCCTCGCCCCAAGTCCACGGATGGCCCAACTCGGACAGCCCACCATCATTCCTTTCCAGCAGCCCCCTCCCCAACCCACCACCCTATCCACGTGCCAGCTAGAGGCCGTCCCGGGGGCTTCTGGGAAAGAGAGTCCCATAGCCTCAATTACTTACCGGAGACCGCCTCCAAAGAGCCAAGGGGCGAATGCCCCGCCTCTCCCTTTCACAGCATACCAGTCCTGTAGGTTCCCACCCACCCAGAAAGCCTCTTCCCTTAGAGAGCTTCCGGTCCCGCGCGAAGCGGCCTGGGAAATGGAGTCCTGCAGGTTTCCTGCAGACTGCCTTTTCTCGTCCCTTCAGCTAGCTTCCGGTCCCGCGCGAGGCAGCCTGGGAAATG